TGTGATCCACTAACTTCTTAAGGCGCTACAGGAACTGTGCAGCTGTGAGTCTGGGTTAAGATTTTTTGATATCGTTCCTTGCGCACCTATTGCGCCGAGAGGATACGCTGGATGGTCACAGACAATCAAGCAAAAAAACAGAAGTATAGCTGGGTTTGCCGAACCTGATAGATTGCATTTTTATTGATTACAGCGCAATAAATGGACGACAAAATTGCAGCGGGGCTGCCGTAGCAATGCGATTAAAGGAAGCGTAAGTTTGGTCACGGACCTTTCGTTCTATACTCAGAACAAGTACAAGTTTAGCGGATCAAAATCCGCTTACATCAAGAGTAATTATAGCCTTAGCCCAAGGCATATTAAGTCTTCGATTTAAATTCAAAACTGATTTTCTTTATTTTTATCTGCGGAAATTTTAAATGCATAGATTTTCCTAATATGTATAGTAAAATAAAAATACATGTATAAAAATACCCAGCCTGTAACGGGGTTACACGAACCTTAATAACCGGGGGGGGTGCGCGTGTCACGCGAGATGTGCATAATGTGACCACACACCCAAACAGGAATACGGGACGGGGCTAGGTAGCCAGTAGTTATGCATGTATTTAGATTTCACTATATATTTAATATATCTAGGAAAAACTAAACTTTTAACATTAGGATAAAAATATAAATAATAATCAGTTTTGATTTTGGACAGAAGTGTTCGATTGCCTTTGTAAGGCTTTTAAAAACTTTTAGAGGCAGCGGATTGCGATCCGCTGCACTAGTACTTGGTTCTTGCATAGAACGAAAGATAGGTGACCTCAAGACGCTTCCTCAAGCGCAAAGCTACGGCAGCCCCGCTGCACTTGGTAGCACTTGTAGTCAATCTACAACTGAGTCGTTTCGACTGATCCTCGGTAAAGACGAAGGAATTTTTCTCTTTGCCCCAGAGCATGCAGGACGGGCTTAAGGAGGTGCTATCCTTGCTTGGCCCTGAGGGTGTGCACAACCTTGTGGCATAAGGCCCCGCGACGATCGGTGCGGGACTAGAGGCGCTTTCGCGTTACAAAAACGCGCTGCTAGAGCAACTGCAGCAGAAGATGTCTGCATGACGCCACCGTCGGTGACGGATGACTTCCCCCGACTTAAGCCGCTCATGGTGAGCTTAAAGGTCTTTGAGAGAAGGATGGAGAGAATCTCCTACTCTGGGTGAGAGAGGTCGAGATGGT